AGAAAAAATTGTATCAGTATTATTATTAGTTATCTATAATGAATTTTTGTATTTTATAAATAAATAAAATGAAACTCATTTATCTTTAGACAATTTGCCTATTATGAAATAAATATGAACACATCTTTCATAACGATAAAAAAATAAAAATTCATCAATTCAATCAATTGAGTTTAAAAATAAAATTATTTTATTTTATTGTTTATTATTAGTAAAACTATATAGTTAAAATTTAAAAATTAATTCGCACAATCAGTGAAAAAATAAGTGACGATGTTTTTGAAGGAGTATGTTGAACAACGTAAAATGAAATTAAATTATGATATATATTTAGTAAAATATATAGATATGAAATTTTAAGATTTATTATTAGATATGAAGATATCTAGAATAAGATTGATCGATTGATTTTATTATATTTAACACTAACTTTGAATTCATTTTTTCTATTTCTTTTATTTTTCATTTTGTTCTCTAAGTTTTCTGTCATTTCTTTATATGTTTTCAAGAAGCTCTTTATTTTTTTAAGCCATAGGAATATCTCCTGCTTTCAAAGATTATAAATCAGATCGGTTCTTATGATCACTTTCAAGTGGCTATTTCTCCATTTTAATTTTGAATGGAACTACATATCTATAATCCCAATATCTGACATTGTCAAAATTAATGAAACCAATATATGTTCCAAATACTGTTGAAACTTTTTATCCTTTACATTTGATATCTGCTTGGAAATAATCAGAAGTTCTAAATTTAGTCTATACAATTACTTCTTTTTAACTTTTCCTATATCAATAATGCATTAAAGTCCATTTGCTTTATCTTAAAATGTAATTTTATTAATTGATTCTTATCTCAATTAACCAAAGAAGGTAATTTTTAATTCTCTATAGTAAACTTTTATTTCAAACAATGAAATTTACATGATTGTTTAAGAAGCAAATAAATTAAGTATTTGGGATTTAGAATAATTGGAATTAATTGAGGATATTGTAACCATTTAAAAGTAGGCTAAAGTTATTTTAATTAGAAATTCCTAATAAGTGTTTTGGACCAATGAATAATAAATTTCTATGATTCCTATCATGAATAAGAAAATTTAATCATCTTATATGTTGGAAAAACCATCTCATATTCCTGAATTCATTGAAACTACTGAAAATAATATAATTACAGCAGATAGAAAAGGAAATTTATTTATGTGGGATTTTGATGGTGAAAAAATTGGTGATAAAAAAATGGACAAATATAATGAATTAAAATATATTCATTTATCTAATGATTAAACTAAGCTTGTTTTAGCATTTAAAAATCTTATTACTATTATTGATTTAAAAAATTAATAGGAAATATTTAATAAAGATTATCAAAACTATGAAATAACAAGAGCATTATTTTTGTATAATAATGATTTAGTTATTGTCACTAATTCTACTTAATCATAAGTTATAATATAATCAATTTAAGATTAAAAAAAAGAATTAATTATTGATAATCATATTGGTAAAACTTTGGGAGCCGCAACTCATAACCAATGCTTTTTAACTTATGGTTCTGATTAAGCAATCAGATATTATGTTGAATAATAATCATGCAAATTTGTTTTTTCATCATAACTTAGATTTGAATGTGAACGAGCCTAAATTTAAAACAGTAAGATTACATTCAAATCCAGAGTTGATCTTACAGTATTATTTAAGCAGAAAAAAGCTATTTTAGAATGAAAAAATAAATTGTTATATTTTTATATTAATAATTGCTTATATTAAAATGTAGGAATCTCATTTCATTAAATCTACT